ATAACCGTTATTATACCATCAATTTTTGGTATAATTGGTATAATATTGGTATAATATAAATTAACCAATAAAATTTAATTATATTAATAATACTAACTGCTAATAACGATCTCTTATAGAAGCTAATATGTGGTATAGAATTTTAGTATCCAAATTATTATTTTTGCACGTATAATTATATATGCTTCTTTACCAATAGTTTTTTATATAGCTTTTTTTTTTTTGCTAAAGTAGAAATTATATAACGATTTGGTACTGTAACTGTAGCATAACTGTTTTTAGAAATTGCTTCTCAATTAAATTAAATTTAGTATTTTTATTTGGGGTTTAATTTCACAAATCATTCTTATAAATAATACTATAAGCTGCTAACCAAAAAAGACAAGCGATTAAAATTCATAGTCACATATATAAAGAAAACTAATAATACTAAAAAAGTATAGGTTTTTAAGGAGTGCTATATGAAATGCATAAAAATCAAAAAAGTAATTCGAAAAAAGCTTCGAATTCATAAGAAAATCAAAAAAAATCAATTCAGTATAAAACGGGAAGAGAAAATAAAAAATTCTTCTTGTTACCAAACTAAAAGCCCCAAATTACTATGAATTTCCTGTTTTTACTTGTATAAATTAAAATTTTTAAATGTTTTTCATAAAGATATAAAGGAAATAAAAATTTCAATTAAAAAAAATATTGCTCCTGATTTTGAATTAATAACTCAAAAAAAAAGTTTTTTTCAATTTACCTTAAATATTCAAAAATTTATCAATCATATACCTGATAATAGGAAAACCAAAAGGTGCTGTATGGAACCATTGGATTACTCTTGAATCGAATTAACCAGAAACTAATAAATCAAATCAGTTAGCAACTGAGGAGTTTGATCAAGAAGAAATTTATGAATCAACCCGATTAGAATTAAATGAATCAAACCAAGAAACCAATAAATCAAACCAACAGGAATCTAATGATGATAAAAAACCACACCCTCCTGTAAAATGCATGTATTGTCCAAAAACTTATGATCGTGGAATTGCAACTCAAATGCAAGCACATTTAGATAATGATTGTCAGGGTGCACCTAATAATGCAAAAACAAAAAAAAAAAATTCATCTCAAATTTTTGAAAATTTAGTTTTTAACAACAATAATTCAATAACATCTAATCTTAATAAACCTAATAATTTTTCTCAAAAACACACAAGAACTACATTTATTAATGATTTTGCTGATAGTATGAGTAAGAAAGAACAAGAAGATCTCAAATTTGCATTAGCCCAAGCATTATTTGCTACGGGTGTATCATTTTCTTTTTTAGAAAATCCATATGTTATTGAATTTTTTCAAAAAATTCGTCCTGCTTTTAAATTACCAAGTCGATCAAAATTGGCAAATGAATTATTAGATAAAGTTTACAAAAAAGTAAAAAAAGAATCTGATAATAAAATTGCAAATGCACAAAGCTTGTGTATGATTTCAGATAGTTGGTCGAATATTAACCAAGAATCAGTACAAAATTTTATAATTTGTACTCCTGAGCCAATTTTTTTTGATGCAACGTATTCAGGAGAAGAATCTCATACAGCTTTGTGGGTTTCAAATGAAATAATTCAACAAATAGAAATTGTTGGGTCTGATAAATTTTCAGCAGTCATTACTGATACAGCAAGTGTAATGAAAGCAGCATGGAGAATTATTGAAGAAAGTATCCTAAGATAGTATGTCTTGGTTGCACTTCGCATATAGTAAATCTTTTAATTAACGATATTTTGAAAATAGATGAAACTAAAGTAACAGTGGATAATGCAAAAAATTTAGTAAAATATTTTAAATCGCATCCACAATCAATGGCAAAACTTAAATGTATTCAACAAGAAAATTATTCTAAAGAAATTTCACTAGTCTTACCTGCAATTACACGATGGGGCACCCATTTTGAATGTTTACAGTCAATTAAAAAATCAAAGATCGCTTTAGAGCAAGCATTAATGGATATAAGAATTCGAGAAAATATAAATTCAGATTTAAGAAATTATATATTATCTGATGAATTCTGGGAAAATTTGGATTTATTAAGTGCTATTTTAGAACCAATAGTAGTTACATTAAAACAGCTTGAATCAGATAATTCGACTCTTTCGTCTATCTATTTTTACTTCAAAAAAATGGTAGAAGAGATTTGTAAAATTTCTTGTTGTTTTTCTGATGAACTTAATAAACTTGTTGAAGAACGATGGGAATATACTTATCATCCAATTCGAATGGTGGCCTATATGTTAGATCCACGGTTTTTAGAAACAAATAATCCATCAGAAGAAGCTATGGGATATTCTGAATTTACAACATTTACTAAAGAAAAATTTGGTCAAGATGAATCTGTAACCTTGTTTATTGAGTTGGTTAAATTTCGCAAAAAAACCTCACCATACAATAATGAAGTTATTTGGAATTCAGCAACATCATTTACTCCATCGTTATGGTGGCAATTATGGCCATATAGTAATCTTCAACAAATGGCTATCAAAATTCTTTCTATTCCTACATCTTCAGCAACTGCAGAACGAAACTTTTCTACATTCGGCTTTATTCATAATAAAGTTCGTAACAGGTTGCTTAATGATTGTGTTAACAAGTTGGTCTATTTGTATGGAAACCTTCGAATGCAAAAAAAATATATAAAGCGTAAAATTAATATATCCAGTAGTAAGTACGATACTAGAACTGATCAAGAAACTAATTGTGATAACAGTGATAGCGATGAATTATTCGATAATGGATTTGAAACGAATGTAATAGATTTGACAGCCAATGAAATGTAAAATCTAATAATATTATACGAATAAATCTTGATTTTTAATCACGTGTTATTATAAGTTATTATAC